TTGGCCTGATCCAACATTGACTTCTCTCAGGTTCTTTTGTTCCAGCGTGTGTGAAAAACGCATCGCTCAGCGTCCGCCTGCAACCCGCAGACGGCATTGGACGTGTAGGAAGAATCCGACCGGCTGCAGGACCCTGCGCGGGTGAAGGAGGAGTTGGGCCCGGGAAAGGGGGGGGGGAGCGGGAGAGGGCGGAGGAGGAGGGCCTCTGGTGGGGCCCGGCGCCTCCGGAGAACTTTTCCTCCCCTCCCAACTTTCCAGAAGTTTCTCCGGCCGCTTTATATAGCCCCCTCCGGCGGGCCGCGGCTTCGCAGAGGAAGGGCCAGCAGCTGCAGGCGGGACGCTCCGGCAGGACAAAAAAAAAACCCCTTTCCCCGCCGCCAACAACCTCTCCAAGCCGCGCGCCCCGGCCAGGCTGCTCCCTCGCACTTTTTCGAGGTAAGGGCCGGGCAACGCATTGCACACGAGGAGACCCTCTTCGGCTCCGGGCCCCGAGGCCTTTCCCGCGGGTCTCCTTGGAAGCGTCCGGGGAGGAGGGCGCAGATCTAGGCAGATCCGTTGGACCGGAGAGCTGATCATCAGGGAGCTCGCGGCGGCGGCGGCCGGGGGGTTGGAGCAGCCAAATCGGATTAGATCGTTAATCCGGATTGGTTAATCCGGCGCGAAAACGGGCGGCTCTTTGCTTTGCGCTGCCGAAGGTCTTCTCTTTTGGCAAAGGCCGGGATTCCCCCTTTGGTTATGCAACAGGCTGGGGGTGGTGGTGGGGCTTTGAAGGCTAAACGTCTACGCGGCTGCGGTCGCACACATGAAAGAATCCACTTTCAATCCAGTTTCGGTGCACTTTCCAACTGGATCTTGCCAGTTGACTCCGTAAAAATCCAGTTGGAAAGTGCACAGAAAGTGGATTATTTAGTGTGCGTGACCGCAGCCTGCTAGTTGCGGGAGGGGGCAGAGAGCAACCGGAGTGGTCCCCCAAATCGGTGCGAAAGCGCATTGCAGGGCAGCGCGACTCGCGGCGTCTCCTTATTTGGAGAGGAACGCTTATTCCCCCCCCCCCAGCATCCTTTGAAAGGGGAGATGGAGGGCTGCGTGCACCCTATGGAGGACGAGAAGAGTTCCGAGTCCGGTGGCGCCTTTAAGAGCAACACCAGTTTTATTCTGGGTATGACCTTTTGTGCGCATGATGCACACTCCTTCGGATAACCTGCGCCCGAAAGCTGATAAGAACATAAGAGACGCCAATGTTGGATCAGGCCAAAGGCCCATCCAGTCCAACACTCTGTGTCACACAGTGGCCAAAAATACCAGGTGCCATCAGGAGGTCCACCAGTGGGGCCAGGACATTAGAAGCCCTCCCACTGTTGACACACACACCCCCAAGCACCAAGAAGACAGAGCATCACTTGCCCCAGAGTCCCTATCTATAAAGGTAAAGGTTCCCTTGCTCGAAAGCCAAGTCGAATCCAGTCCAACACTCTGTCACACAGTGGCCAAAAACACCAGGTGCCATCAGGAGGTCCAGCAGTGGGGCCAGGACATTAGAAGCCCTCCCACTGTTGACCCCCCCAAGCACCAAAAAGACAGAGCATCCCTTGCCCCAGAGCCCCTATCTATACCCAGAATCAAACTCTGTTGTTCTTCAAGGTGCCGCTGGACTCGAACTTGGTTCTCCTGCTTCGGCCCAAACCCGGCCACCTACCTGAATCTTTCTTTATTGGGGAGGAAACAGCGGCAAGGGGGGCGCCCCCCAGTTCCGCTTTGGGGAGCCTCTCCGTGCGCCCTACAGGACGCGTCTTGGCAAGCCCCCCTCCCGGGTCTCTGGGCTTTGGCATTGTCTGGAGAGCAGATGCCCAGATGGACCCTCGGGATCTCAGGGAGGATGAGGCCCCCAGGAGCAACCGCTTCCCCCCCTCTGCCTGGTCGGGGCCTCCCCGGAGCTATTCTTGGGCCTTGGGAAAGAAGGTTAGGAAACGCTGAGCCAGGAAGATTCAGCTGGGCTCGGTTCCCTGCGGGCGGCTTCTGGCATGGAAACTTTGGGTGCAACGGGCTTAGAGGAAGCTGGCTGTCAGCCTTTCCCCCTATAGCAATTCAAGGGGTGGGGGGTTTTTTTGCAGGAGAATGGGAATATCAGTTTATGCTCAGGCGCTATAGCTGAGGGGGACGCCCGTGAGAATCTTGCACACAAGACCCAGAGTTTATAATCTGTATAAACGAAATTCGGGTCAGGGATCTGGAGGGGGTGAAAGTTCTGGGGTTGCAAATTTCAGCGTTCCCTCTAAGCTGAGTTAGCGTGAGCTAGCTCACAGTTTTTTAGCCTCCAGCTCACAGATTCTCGCCTTAGCTGAGGAAGGAGGGCTCCAGAGCAAACTGATTGATGCAGCAGCCAAACTGCTCGCTCACAGTTTTAATGCCAGGAGCTCACAAAGTAGAGTTTTTTCCTCACAAGACTCCACAGCTTAGAGGGAGCGTTGGTTTCACAGATCCGCAATCCGGCCCGGGTTTCACAGATCCACTGAGAGAGTCCCATTTGAGACGATATCTGTACTTTGGATTAGCCCCTGCCGTCTGTTTCCGTGGCAAACCCAGCCTCCCTTTTTACCCTGGGAACCGAGGGATCCCTCGTCCAGAAGATCAGTTTTCAAAGGCATCATCCCAAACCCAGATGGGTGGCGCTCGGAGGCCAAGAGTTTATTTTCTCCTGCATCTCTGGTCTAAAAATCCACTTGCCGCTCCCTAGGCCTCGGTTTCTGGGTTAACAAAGAAGTTGCGGTTGAGGATCGGAGCTGGGTGGTCTTAAGAGAAATGCCACGTGTCCGTTCCGAGACCAAAATGGGAAGCCTGAGATGCGAGCCAGCATCCTTTGAGATTTGGCACTGAAGTGAGAAAGCAAGTCTCTAGCTCTCAGGATGAAGTAGAAACAAAAGAGAAAATAAAAGAAAAATCTAAAACGGGACGTAAATATTTTTTGCTGCTCCCTGCATCTATTCCCATCTCTCCTGCTGGTATTGGTGTGTGTGTGTGTGTGTGTGTGTGTGTATGTTTGTATGTCTACTAGAATAACCTGAAATGCATGAAAAACACAAACGTTGCGATTGACATTTCTGGCCACTGAGGTCCTGCAGGAAGTAAAAATGACCGGTACTTCCGCGGAGCGTTGAATTTGATTCCATTAACAAAAAGCTCATAAAGATAAAAATGTTTTAAATAAAAATAATAATAATGCAGATTACATCTGTGCTGAGCCCGCTCTTATTGGCACAAAAAGCTACTTGTCACAAGCATTTCTCGGCACTGGGTCCTTCTTGTGTGGACTGGGGGTGTATTTGCAATGGAAGGAATTTAAACTACTGCTAAACGGTATTGCAGAGCTTTAGCAATTTTGAAACTGGATTTATTATGTCTGAAATGGAACTGTAGGAAGAGGGGGAGTTGGGTGCATTTTCCTAGCCCACTGACTCATTTGGGGGAAACGATTACTGCCCACATAGTTAAGAACAGAAGAAGAGCTCAGCTATATCAGACCTGTGAAGGTCCATCTATTCCAGCATCCTGTCTCTCACAGTGGCCAACAAGTTCCCCTGGAGGACCAACAACTGGGCTTAGAGGCCGAGGCCTTCCCCTGATAAGAACCTCAGGAGAGCCCTGCTGGATCAGACCAGTGAGGGTCCATCTAGTCCAGCCTCCCGTCTCACACAGGGGCCAACCAGTTCCTCTGGAGGGCCAACAACAGAGCAGAGAGGCCGAGGCCTTCCCCTGATATGAATCCAAGAAGAGCCCTGCTGGATCAGACCAGTGGGGGTCCATCCAGTCCAGCCTCCTGTCTCACACAGGGGCCAGCCAGTTCCTCTGGAGGGCCAGCAACAGGGAATAGAGGCCGAGGCCTTCCCCTGATAAGAACCTCAGAAGAGCCCTGCTGGATCAGACCAGTGAGAGTCCATCTAGTCCAGCATCCTGACTCACACAGGGGCCAGCCAGTTCCTCTGGAGGGCCAACAACAGGGCAGAGAGGCCGAGGCCTTCCCCTGATAAGAACCTCAGAAGAGCCCTGCTGGATCAGACCAGGGAGGGTCCATCTAGTCCAGCATCCCGTCTCACACAGGGGCCAACCAGTTCCTCTGGAGGGCCAGCAACAGGGCAGAGAGGCCGAGGCCTTCCCCTGATAAGAACCTCAGAAGAGCCCTGCTGGGTCAGACCAGTGAGGGTCCATCTAGTCCAGCCTCCTGCCTCACACTGGCCTTCTCCTGATGTTGCCTCCTGGCTCTGGGACTCATAGATTTAGTGCCTCTGAACGTGGAGAGTCCCCTCAGTCACCATAGCTAGTAGCCACTGATGGACCTGACCTCCATAATGCAGGAATTATGCCTGCCTCAAGAGGGGCATGGAGGCAAAATGGGCAGAGGGAATTTGCACGGCAGTAGTGAAATGCATGGGCATGAACGATTGCATGGCTTCAATGGTGCCAGTATTTCAGAATCGGTGCTAGAAGGTGGAATAAATCTACCAATCCTGTCATTATTGTTCCCTTTGGGCAGGCCTGAATCAAGATTTTTTTTGGACTCAAAAGCCCCATCAGAGTGACTTTTGAAAGAATGAGGATTTTTCTAACAAAAACTGAGAATTTCTTCTCCCGGGCTGACAGTGTTGGGAGGGGTCTTCTGCCCACACCCACTCTCTGGGATGACCCGCCCACATCTTGTGGCGTGGCTAATGCCACGTTTGCAGTGGGGCCGTGTGAAAAGGCAGGGCTCGGCTTGCAGAGAACTTGATCCCGTTTCTGCTCAAGGTTGGAAAGGTTCCAGCGGTCCCCCTGTTAGTCCTTCGTTTCTCCCTCCACTAAAAAAATAAAAGTGAGCCCCCCCTCCCACCCACCCCCGATCTCCCACTAAGACAGGCCCCAGCTTCCTTTCCTGCATGGTTCCAGTTCTTCGAATTCCTCTTGTTCTGTTCTGGAAAAAAGCCTCTGTCCTTCTCGAAGGAACTACCTGACGTATCTTGTTTTCTTTCAGAATGAACAAGGGGAACGTTGACCACACTAAGACAAAGTTTCAAGGTATCTTGATTTAAAACAAAATAATAATTGGGGGGGGGGAACCCTTACAGACTTTGCCACGTCACGCGCACCAAGATGGATCAGGGATAGAGCCTGAATAACTGCCCGGGAACCTTCCAGGGCTGCTTTTAAAACGAGTTAGCGTGACCCGATCCTGCATTTGGATCGGACGTCCGTTCATCCTTCCCGGCCGACGTCTTTGAGACAGGGCCCTGACGTGTCGGCAGCAGATCGCTAGACCCAGATTTGATGCATTGTTATTAATTTTTGGTTTTATAGTAGTTTCTGTTATTGATTAGAATATTTTTTGCCCTGTCGTCCGCCCTTCCCCCAAGCCCGACACGGAAGGGTCGGTTTAGTCCTTGTAATTTCAGAAGGAGGTTCCTTTGTACTCAGCAGCTTCCCCCCCCCCGACCATTCCAAGAAGTGAGCCACAGATTTGCTGGATGAGACCCCAGTGCTTCCACTTTCAATGCACTTTGGAACTGGATTTTGCTGTGTGAAATGGCAAGATCCACTTGCAAACGCTCGCTGAAGTGGATTGAAACTGCATTATTTAGCATGTTTGAAAGTCGTCTTGTCTGCCTGGCTCAGCACCCACTTCTCAACTGTAATGGCTAAATGCCTCTGCAGCCCCTATAAAATGGACTCCCCCATAGCCAGGATTTTGTGGCTTGTGGGGCAAACTTTTTCCTGGTGGGGCTGACGTTCTCAGTGCAGAAAGAAAAGCCATTTAGCCAATAGACAGCTGTTGCCAGGAGAGAGCTCTAAATTGCAAGCTGTCAACCACCTTAGATAACAGTTCTCAGCTGCTGCAAGTTAATCCCTTCTGCCAGCCTAAGCAACCATTCTGATCACAAGCCGGCAGGTGGGAGTGATGACTTCTACAGTCAAGAAAGCCAACACTTGGGCAGAAAAACTCTCTTAAAGGAGACCAGTTTCTTGACACAGAGTGAGAAGGGAACCTAGAGGTCACCTACTCCAACTCCCTTTCTCAGTGTGGGAATTAGTCAACTACAGCACCCCACTCTGCTTAAAGGAGTGCACGCCTTTAAGCAGATGATTGCAAAAAGCATTTAATGGAGAGATTCTTGTGGGGCTGTGCCTTCAGGAAAGGGGGCAGAGCCCCCAAAACTGCACCGTAGCTATGGGCCTGCCTTCCCCACCCAGTTCTGGCATTCAGAGGTACATTTCCTCTCTACATGGAGGTTCCACGCAGCAGCCTTGTGGTGCCAGAAACCTCAATAGGTCAACTGCATCCGTGAGCCCCAAAGCCCATTTTGGCCAGAAGCGTGAAACAGTTCCCTCCATTGGCAAACGTAGCCGTCTTTCAACTACCTTTTTACCCTATGCTTCCTCCAAATAGTGGCATAGTAAGGTTGGTTGACCGTCACACCGACCCTGCGAGGTCGGCTGCCCCAGGGTCATCCCATAAGCTTCCATGATCGAGTGAGGATTTGAACCCAGTTCTCTCTAGTTGGATTTCGATACTAAACCCACATAGGGGAGGGGAGCTGTTACAAAGAGAGGGCAGGCGGCCTGGAATTCCAAAGCGTTGGGGTGTTGCATTATATTCCACCGCGCAGATGGAAACGGAGTCCAGAAACAGTCCCAGAGCGAGGCTGAGACTGGTGGGGTCAAAATATAGATAATTCCCTCTCCACACCTGTCCAGCTGTGATGGGAAATCTCCTGATTTCCCCTAGAGCTGACCAATGCTCCCTCTAAGCTGTGGAGTCTCGTGAGCGAAAATTCTACTTTGTGAGCTTACTGGCATTAAAGTCGTGAGCGAGCGATTTGGCTACTGCATAAAGTAGTTTTGCTCTGGAGCCATACTTCCTGAGCGAAGACAAAAAAAAAGTGTGAGCCGGAGGCTGAAAAACGGCGAGCTAACTCACACTAACTCAGCTTAGAGGGCACACTGGAGCTGACACACCTGGCTTTCTTTTGCCTCAAACTTTTCCAGCTGCAGTTTGATTACCTGTGCAGTTTTCCGTTCTGCCGGCTCTGGATTCCGATCTTACACCTGCAAGTTACTTGCGGAATAAAGCGGGGGGGGGGGGTCTTCTTTTTTTACAGAAAGTGTCTTTCTTGAAGATCCGTTCCCAAGTTTAAAATAAGTCTGCCAGTTTTTCCAAACGACCCACCCTGTCCTCCACCCTCCTCCACAAGACTTTTAAGTATCGGCTTTAACTTGAAGGAATAAATAAACCCCAAAGTTGGGGCCATGTCATTTCCTGGGCATAATTGCAGGCTTGTCTTGCTGCTGCTGCCACCGGCGTGGCTGCCTTTGCTTTGTCTGGGGAATGTCCGCCCATCCTCTGTGGCCTCTTTCTCTCCCTGCTTGGCTTTGCTCTCCGCTGCTTTCCGCTTTTTGCAGGGAACCACTCCCCAGCCTCCGCCCTTGGCGTGGTGCCCCAAAGCACCGGTGCTTGAGATCTTGGCTGGCGCCCAGTTGGCATCATAGAGGAGCAAGGCATTTTGAGAAGCTGGGGAATGCAGCCAGCAGGCCTTTTAATTAGGGTGAATTAATCGCTTTGCCTGAGGTCAACGCTGCTGCAGTTTTTGCACTTAAGGCCCCTAAGAAAACAGCCGAATTGGCTCCGCCCAGAGGGTCCTTTAACACTTTCCTTCCCGGTGTGATGAGCTGGGGGAAAGAAAAGATGCTCAGCGGGCCGTACTGTCCCATTTCTGTTCTGCTTCTGAAGGTGACGGGGGTGTGCAAGGGACCAAGGAGTGTGCAGCCGACCAGAAAGAAATGTGCAGTCAAAACCTGAGGAGGCCAAGGATTTTCAGCTGTGTTTAAGCTGAGGTCTAGATACGGCCAAGGTTCATAGGGGCCTGGACCCAAAATCCGTTTTTGAAATTCACTCATGGCTTGTGTGAAATAAGAATAGATGGCCCCGATCCCCAGATTTGGGACCCAGCCCAGAAGTTTGGTGTAGTGGTTAGGAGCGCGGACTCTAATCTGGGAGAACCGGGTTTGATTCCCCACTCCTCCACTTGCACCTGCTGGATGACCTTGGGCAAGCCATAGTTCTGATAACAGCTGTCCTTGAAAAAGAGCAGTTCCTGTCAGAGCTCTCTCAGCCCCACCTACCTCACAGGCAGTGTTTCCTCTAAGCTGAGTTAGTGTGAGCTAGCTCACAGTTTTTGAGCCTCTGGCTCACACATTTTTGTCTTGGCTCAGGAAGGGATGGCTCCAGAGCAAACTAGTTTATCCAGCAGCCAAATCTCTTGCTCACAACTTTAATGCCAGTAGCTCACAAAGTAGAATTTTTGCTCACAAGAGTCCACAGCTTAGAGGGAACATTGCTCACAGGGTGTCTGTTGTGGGGAAGGGAAGGGAAAGGAGTTTGTAAGCCGCTCTGAGACTCCCTTGGGTAGTGAAGGGCGGGGTATAAATCCAACCTCCTCCTCCTCTTCTCTCAGCCCCACAGGGTGTCTGTTGTGGGGAGGGGGAAGGGAAAGGAGTTTGTAAGCTGCTCTGAGACTCCCTTGGGAAGTGAAGGGCGGGGAATAAATCCAGTCTCTTCTCCTCTTCTTCTTAAGCACGACTTTAGCCAAGGGTCAGTTTCCTGCGGAATGAATGTGCGTTTATAATGGTGACCCAATGTTCCCTCTGTCTGGGCAAGTTAGTTAACCAGCCAAAGGTCCCCACGAGACCAGAGCACCCTTGTCCGTGAAGGAGGTTGCCCGTTGCAACTCTGACTGCTCTGATTCGACCCGCTTCCCATTCAGCCTCCACAGGGGCGGGAAGTTCAGATGCTGGATGCGGTTGGGTTGTCTCTGCTGCAGAGGTTGCCTTTTATGTCTCTGCGTGAGTCAGTTCAGAACAGCGGGCTGGATCTTGCCCGCTTTCCCCACTGGGGCGCGAGGTAGGAGGGATGTTCTTGCCCAATTCTTCACCTGAAGCCCTGCCCTGTATGGCTTTTTGTCCCCTCCGTATTCTTTTTTGTCCTCCAAAAGTTCATCTCCCTTTTCACTTGCAAACGTGCTGCTGGTAGGATCCAACACGGTGATGCATGTAGAGAGACCAGAAGTGTGACCCCCTTGAGAGGGGATTAACGTTTCTACATGCTGTCTGTTCCAGTGTAAGAGTCAGAGACGTGTCCACTTTTAATTCACAAGGGGAGGAGGAAAGCCTTGCTGAAAAGTTTGGGAAAAAACTGGGTTAAATTCACAGCTTTCTGGGGAAACCAATTGCTCCCTCTTGTGGTCATGCCACAAACTGCAGCCTGACTTGCTGGAAGGCCGTTTTAGACTGCTGAACTGCAGGTTGTGGAAGGTCGGTAGTTCAGCAGTTCGAGACCCGAGTGTGCCGCATGACGGAGTGAGCTCCCGTCTCTAGTTCCAGCTCCTGCCAACCGAGCAGTTCGAAAGCAAGAAATTGCAAGTAGATAAATAGGTACCACTTCGGTGGGAAGGCAACAGCGTTCCGTGCGCCTCGGTGTTTAGTCATGCCGGCCACATGACCACGGAAACGTCTTCGGACAGCGCTGGCTCTTCGGCTTGGAAACGGAGATGAGCACCGCAACCCTAGAGTCGGACTCGACTGGCTTTCGAGCAAGGGAACCTTTACCTTTACCTTTAATTTGTTGTTGCAATCATTCAGAACTGAAGAATCATATAATCAGGGTGACGGCCGTGGCTCAGTGGAGGAACACTTGTGTCGCTTGCTGAAAATCTCAGCTTCAATCCATAGACCTGCTCTAAATGTGTTTGTCTTTTGGGCTTTGCACTCCTATGGTGTCCTCCTGGGCCATATAGCCACTTGGCACAGATGGTGGCCTGGTTTCGGTGAGACGCCACACAAGCGCCAAGGTGCATGGGGGTGAGGGCTTCTTTCACTATCCCACTGTTGCATTTAAGTCGAGCCCCTGTTAAGCCATGCTGGCGTTCTTCCATCAGGTTAGCCACAAGGAATTGTCTTCCAGTTCTCTGTGCCCACGCAACACATAGCAAACATGAAGCTGCTTTCTACTGAATCAGATCCTTAGTCCATCAAAGTCAGTATTGTCTACTCAGACTGGCAGCCACACTCCAGGGTCTCAGGCAGAGGTCTTTCCCATCACCTGCTCCTTTTAACTGGAGATGCTGGGGATTGAACCTGGCACCTTGTGCATGCCAAGCAGGGGCTCTGCCACTGAGCCGCTGACGTCTTTCATGTCACCTATTGACCCGATCCTATGCCGGGGATTGAACCTGGCACCTTGTGCATGCCAAGCAGGGGCTCTGCCACTGAGCCGCTGACGTCTTTCATGTCACCTATTGACCCGATCCTATGCCGGGGATTGAACCTGGGACCTTCTGCACGCCAAGCAGATGTTCTACCACTGAGCCACTGAGGTCTTTCATGTCACCTATTGACCCGATCCTATGCCGGGGATTGAACCTGGGACCTTGTGCATGAGAAGCAGAGGCTCTGCCACTGAGCCGCTGACGTCTTTCATGTCACCAGTTGACCGATCCTTTTAACTGGAGATGCCGGGGATTGAACCTGGGACCTTGTGCATGCCAAGCAGGGGCTCTGCCACTGAGCCACAGACCCCCCCCCCCCCCGTCTGCCTTTTATTTGAATCAGTGATATAGATGCAGATAGCAAGGAAGCAAATTACTGTGAAAAAGGATGCTAAAGATAATGAAAATAATAGATTCAGAAGTTATACTAGAACATGTCATTTTTTTAGTGATACCAATCGAACTGTGTGCAATTTTGACTTAATAATAGACCTTACAAAGTACAATTCTATAGAATTTCCAAAAAAAATTTGTTACACACAAGAGTATAATATAATACAGATATTCAAAAATATGGAATGCTTCATGAATTTGCTTGTCCCTATTATTGTCTTGAGTGTAATAGATGTTTGGAATTTCTATAAAACTCTACTTTGCAAGGTTTTACCAAGTCAAAATTGCACATTATTTGATTGGTTACACTAAAAAATACGATTCACATGTTTGGTATAAATAATTGTTGTGTTCTTTCCATTATATTTAGCGTCCTTTGTCACAGTAATGTACTTCCTTGTCTTATCTGAATCAGCCATAATGAGGCCTTTTTCTGACGTCTGCACTATTGAAATCAGCCTCTTCCGTGGCTCTAAAATTTTACTGTATGTCGATGCGTCAATGACTCTTCGTCAATCCGTGCTGATCTCTAATCGTCACAAATAAAGGCGGCTTTGATTGAAGCACAACAAAGACAAGAGTTGTCCGATCAAGCTGACCACCTGATCTGTCTCCTTGCAGGCTCCGGCCATCCCCGAATCCGACAGAAACCATGTGGGTGATCGCGCTTCTCGCACTCGGCGCCGCCGCCAGCGCCGTACCCTCCGAGAAGAAGAAGCTGAGCGACAAAGCGGCAGCCCTGGCTGACCGGAGCGCCAACCTGGCCTTCAGCCTCTACCACGCGATGGCCAAGGACAAAAACGTGGACAACATCCTCCTGTCCCCGGTGGTGGTGGCCTCTTCCCTCGGGCTGGTGTCCCTGGGGGGCAAGGCCACCACGGCCTCCCAGGCCAAGGCCCTGCTGAGCGCCGAGAAGCTGAACGACGACTACGTCCACAGCGGCCTGTCGGAGCTCCTGAGCGACGTCAGCAACTCCACAGCCCGCAACGTCACGTGGAAGATGGGCAGCCGCCTCTACGGGCCCAGCTCCATCTCCTTCGCCGACGACTTCGTCCAGAGCAGCAAGAAGCACTACAACTACGACCACTCCAAGATCAACTTCCGGGACAAGCGGAGCGCCGTCAAGTCCATCAACGAGTGGGCGGCGCAGACCACCGACGGCAAGCTGCCCGAGGTCACCAAGGACGTGGACAAGACCGACGGGGCCCTGATTGTCAACGCCATGTTCTTCAAACGTAAGTGGGATTTGGGGTTGCCGGGTTCCCCCCCCTCCCCGGCAACCAGTGAGCAGTGCTCCCTCTCAGCTGAGCCAGCTCAGTTTCTTAGCCTCCGGCTCACACGTTTTTGTCTTGGCTCAGGAAGGATGTGTCCAGAGCACAGTAATTTACGCAGTAGCCAAATTGCTCACTCACAACTTTAATGCCGGTGGCTCACAAAGTAGAACTTTTGCTCTCAAGATTCCACAGCTTAGAGGGAGCATTAGTGGGCACCTGTGTTCCCTCTAAGCTGAGTTCGTGTGAGCTAGCTCACAGTTTTTTAGCCTCCGGCTCACACATTTTTGTCTCAGCTCGGGAAGGATGTGTCCAGAGCACAGTAATTTACGCAGTAGCCAAATCGCTCACTGACAAATTTAATGCTGGTGGCTCACAAAGTAGAATTTTAGCTCACAAGACTCCACAGCTTAGAGGGAGCATTGCCAGTGAGGGGGCTTTCCATACATCTGGGGCTTGGGGGGCAACAGCGTGGGAGGGCGTCCATCCAGTGTTCCCTCTAAGCTGAGTTTGTGTGAGTTAGCCCACAGTTTTTTAGCCTCCAGCTCACAGGTTTTTGCCTTCGCTCAGGAAGGATGTCACCACCGCAAACTAATTTATGCCGTAGCCAAATGGCTCGCTCACAGCTTTAATGCCAGCAGCTCACAAAGTAGAATTTTTGCTCACAGGACTCCATAGCTTAGAAGGGAGCATTGGTGGGGTGGAATTTGCACAGTTAGAATTACGTGCGTCAAAACAACCTTTCTCCTATGAACTGATCTCCCCTTCTTCTTCCACTCTGGCCTGCAGCTCACTGGGACGAGAGGTTCCATCACAAGATGGTGGACAACCGAGGCTTTATGGTCACCCGTTCCTTCACAGTGGGCATTCCCATGATGCATCGCACAGGTGAGTGGGACCTAAAAAGGAGGCCCATTGATTTGTGGGGGAGGCGGGCCTTAAGGTATGCTGGCCCCACATGGTGTAGGATTTCAAAGGTCAATACCAGCACCGCGAATTGGGCCTGGAAGCAAATTCGGTCTGGTCAACATTCTATCCACCGCATTCTGTACCAGTTGCCACTTCTAGGCAGTCTTCAAGGGAGGCCCCATGGTATGGTGCACTGCAGTAATCTAGCCTAGGTTTACGGATGGGATCCTGTATTTAGGGATGGGGGGGCTCTATTTGGGCAGGATGGTGGGATATAAATGTTTAAAAAACGTATAAATGGCGAATGGGTTTATTTCGAAGGCTTGTACCCGTACTACAACGACGAGGCAGAGAACCTCCAGATCGTGGAAATGCCTCTGGCCCACAAGCTGTCCAGCATGATCTTCATCCTTCCAAACCACGTGGAGCCCCTGGAGCGAGTGGAGAAGCTGCTGACCCGGGAGCATCTGAAGACCTGGATGGGCAAACTGAAGGCGAGGTCCGTGGCCATCTCCTTGCCAAAGGTCAGCTTGGAAGTCAGCCACGACCTCCACGTAAGTATCCTTACTGTTCGTATCCTTACTGGAGAGCCAAGTTTGATTTCGCACTCCTCCACAGGAAGCCAGCTGGGTGACCTTGGGTCAGTCACAAGTTCTCTCAGAGCTGTTCTCTCAGGAGGAGTGCTCTCAGAGCTCTCTCAGCCCCACCTACCTCCCAGGGTGTCTGTGGTGGGGAGAGGAAGGGAAGGAGATTGTGAGCCGCTCGGAGACTTCTTTGGGTAGTGAAGGGCGGGGTATCAATCCAATCTCTTCTCCTTCTTCTTTTACCTCACAGGGTGTCTGTGGTGGGAAGGAGAAGGGAAAGGAGTTTGGAAGCCACTCTGAGGCTCCTTTGGGTAATGAAGGGCGGGGTATCAATCCAATCTCTCTCTTCTTCTTTTACCTCACAGGGTGTCTGTTGTGGGGAGGAGAAGGGAAAGGAGTTTGGAAGCCACTCTGAGACTCCTTTGGGTAATGAAGGGCGGGGTATCAATCCAATCTCTCTCTTCTTCTTCTTTTATCTCACAGGGTGTCTGTTGTGGGGAGAGGAAGGGAAGGAGATTATGAGCCGCTTGGAGACTCCTTTGGGTAGTGAAGGGCGGGGTATAAAACCAACTCTCCTTCTCCTTCATTTCGGAACATTCCGGAAACTCCCAGGGTGATTCCCCCCCCCCCACTGCTTGATTTCCCACACAGCCATTGGGTCTTCCCTCCAAGGCAGGCCCGTGGTCACCCCCATTTCATATCCAGTTGAACGTCACTCAAGTGGTCTTTGTTAAGTGTATTCTCGGCCCCAGACACTGAAATAAGGCTAAAGACCTGTGGGTAGAGTAGGTACGTGAAGTTTGGCTTTCCCGCTGAACCAGTGCTTACGTGGTTATGATGATGTCATGGAATGTATCTGAAGCTCTTATATACCATTGGCTGAACTTGTAGCATCACAGAGTGCTTACGGCAGGGGTGTGGAGCTCATTTGTTATGAGGGCCGGGTCTGACATAAATGAGACCTTGTTGGGCCGGGCCACGTGTGTCATAAAACGTAATGCCAGGCAGCAGGGATATAAACTTTATAAAGGACACAGACACAAAGGTTGGGTTTTTTTTACTTAAAATAAACACGCTTAAAACATTCGCACTCTTGCAATATTTTGTTTATTTAACAGTGTCTTGACAACTGACACCTCTTGCTCTGCATTATTGCATCAGAATGTCTGTGCTGTTGCAATCTTGAGTATGCTGTTCAGGTGTGTACCTGTAAGCTGCAAACCTACGATGACGCAGCAGCAGCAGAACTGGAAGAAGAAGCAGAAGACAGCCGGTTCCACTGCGGGCCTGATTTGGCCCCTGGGCCGCATGTTTGACACCCCCGGCTTACGGGGTAAACTGGAAAGAAACACAAGGGAAAAGGCAGCGAAAGGGGGTGGGGGGGGGGGGGGAGTTCCCTAGCTTGTAGTCTGCAAACTCGAGAGTTCGCTTGCATGGTAATTCCCTTCTTATAATGGCCTTCCAGTCCATGGATCCTTGCAAGGGGTTCCCCACGCATTGCTTTTTAAATTAATATATATTTTTATTTTAAAAACAACTTAGTAATGTAAAAAGGGTAGAGAAGGAGAGAAAGGTGTTATATAGGGATTCTAGAACAGATTATATTTATCAAAGATTATTACACTTAGAAAACACATTAAACGAAGAAATCCTTTCCCCCGACCTCATGTTCATTAAGATGCTAAAGATATTTTCTACAATAGTTCCATCATTTGTACATTTTCTGTATTACATATTTCCAGGGGTGCAGGAGCTCATTAGCATAACTCATCAGCATAACGTATTTGCATATGCCACACCCCCTGACATCACCGGAAGTGTGTCAGAAGGCAACACCCACCGCTCAGGCTCCACTTGACTGTTTTGGATTGCTAGCTATTGGGGGAGAGGGAATGCGCAGATCTGCCCTCAAAGATGAGGGAGAGCTTGTACCTGAAGGTGAGCCGGGGGGGGGGGCGCTCTGCAACTTACCTGGCTGCTTCTTGCTCCTCATGGCCCGACTGAGGGCTGCTGGGAGCAGGGGGCGGGGCTTGTTGCATGTGCCCGCCCCCTGAGCGCCTTACTGCCGGAGCTCCACTCCTGTGCGCTCCCGCAGGAAATGACCCCTGCATATTTCATCAATACTACATACTAGCTATAACTTTTCATATAACCAAACTCTGAAGGAAAATCTGCTATCCTGATAACCCCACCGTGCCCATTTTGTCGCTTCCAGAAACACTTGGCCGAACTTGGCTTAACTGAAGCCGTCGACAAGACCAAAGCCGACCTGTCCAAGATTTCGGGCAAGAAGGACCTCTACCTCGCCAACGTCTTCCACGCGGCGGCCCTGGAGTGGGACACGGAGGGGAACCCCTACGAGGGCGACATCTACGCGCGGGAAGAGATGAAGAACCCCAAGCTCTTCTACGCCGACCATCCCTTCGTCTTCCTCATCAAGGACAATAAGACCAATTCCATCCTCTTCATCGGCCGGCTAGTGAGGCCCAAAGGAGACAAGATGCGGGACGAATTGTAGGGGGCGCGTGTGGCAAAATTGGGGAGCGGGGGGGCGGGGGGGAGCGTTATCTACTCTGTATGAACTAACTGGTGCTATGTAGGACCACGGTGAACGGTCTCTAGCTCTTGCCGTTACCTCACTTTAAGGGGGGGGACGATTGATCGGTGAGGTGTTTCCTGGGAATGGCTGCAAAGAATTCTGGGATCCTGTCAGACTTTTTGAGTCCTTGCCTTTCCTCGCTCTCGGGTCCTGAAGCCGTCGTGGGTCCCCGAAGCTGAAAGTCCCGCCCAAACGGTACCGTTAAAATGGAGGGAAGGGAGAGAAAGCGCGGGTGTTTATGGGGTAACTGCCCCAGCCAGGAAGATTTCCTCAGAGAAGAGAAATTAGCTGTTGCAGATTTTCCGGGCTGTGCGGCCGTGGTCTTGGCATTGTAGGACCTGACGTTTCGCCAGCAGCTGTGACTGGCATCCTCAGAGATATAACACAGAAAGACGGAGTACTCTGTGTGTCAAGGTGAGAAGAAAAATGGTAGGCAGGTAATTTATATCCACTCCCTGCATAGAGAGCCAGTTTGGCGTCGTGGTTAAGTGCGCGGACTCTAATCTGGGAGAACTGGGTTTGATTCCCCACTCCTCCGCTTGCACCTGGCTGGATGACCTTGGGCAAGCCGTAGTTCTGATAAGAGCTGTTCTTGAAAAAGAGCAGTTTCTGTCAAGAGCTCTCTCAGCCCCACCTGCCTCACAGGGTGTCTGTTGTGGGGAGGGGAAGGGAAAGGATTTTGTGAGCCGCTCTGAGGTTCCCTTGGGTAGTGAAGGGTGGGGTAGAAATCCAATCTCCTCTTCTTCTACTCCGGAAGGTGGAGTAGGGCTGAGTCATTATCCTGTAGGAATTCCCCAGGCTATGAACATGCTAACGGAGGAGCTTTCCTGAGGAGGTTCTTTTGTATATGGATTGTTTCCTGAGGAGGTTTCCTGAACCTGGAAAATCTGCAACAGCTAATGAACTCCGGCCCTGAAAGCCTTCGACAACATATTGAACCTTTTAGATTCCGCCGACGACACCTGGTCTTCCCAACGGGCCAGGGTGGCTTCAGAGAGGGACAGAAGAGTGCAAAGAGGGAGATCTCATTCTTTGGTAGATCAAACCACAGAGTCTCTCGCCTGTCTTTCTCGGGCTGTGTTCAGAAGGGCGCGTCATCCGGGAAACTTGCGGCAGGAAGATCCCACAGCCCGAGAAAAACCCACATTTCAAGCAGTTGGGTGTAATGATCCCTCTAAGCTGTGGAGTCCTGTGAGCAAAAATTCTACTTTGTGAGCGACTGGTATTAAAGTTGTGAGCAGGCAATTTGGCTGCTGCATAACTTAGTTTGCTCTGGAGCCCTCCTTCCTGAGCGAAGACAAAAATATGTGAGTTGGAGGCTAAAAAACTGTGAGCTCGCTCACACTATCTCAGCTTAGAGGGGACACTGTTTGGGTGTCTGTTTTTTAAAAGGGATGTACCTATTCACTGCCGTGACCTGAATGGCCCAGGCCAGCCCGGTCTCATCAGGTTTGGTTCGTCCTTGGATGGGAGACTGACGAAGGAGATCCGGAGTTGCGACGCAGAGGCAGGCAAAGGGGAACCACCTCTGCTAATCTCTGCTCCGACCGGGACGTCCCAGGCTAGCCTGACCTCATCAGATCTCGGAAGCTCAGCCCTGGTTCGTCCTTGGATGAGAGACCACAGAGGAAGACCAGGGTTGTGACGCAGAGGCAGGCGACGGCACGCTACCCCCGAACCTCTCTTGCCTTGAAAGCCCTACGGGGTCGCCATAAGTCGGCCGTGACTCAGTGGCGCTTTCCAGCACCATAAATTCAGTGTCAGGAAAGATCAGATCTTTTAGTGGTCAAGAGCGCAGACTCTAATCGGGGTTGATTTCCCCATGCCTCCACGTGCAGCTGCTGGTGTGACCTTGGGTCAGTCACAAGCAATGTTCCCTCTAAGCCGTGGTGTCTTGTGAGCAAAAATTCTACTTTGTGAGCTGCTGGCATTAACGTTGTGAGCGAGCGATTTGGCTGCTGCATAAATTGGTTTGCTCTGGAGCCACCCCTTCCTGAGCTAAGACAAAAATGTGTGAGCCAGAGGCTCAAAAAACGTGAGCTAGCTCACACTAACTCAGCTTAGAGGGAACATTGGTCACAGGTTCTCTCGGAACTGTTCTCTCCAGAGCAGTTCTCGAAAGAGCTCTCTCAGCCCTGCCTTCCCCACAGGGTGTCTACTGTGGGGAGAGGAGATAAGGAAATTGTAAGCCGCTCTGAGTGAAGGGCAGGGTATAACTCCAATCTCTTTTTCATCCCTCCGAGCTGTCTGCTGTGGCAGTCCGTGTAAATGCCCCTGCTGGACACGGAAGGGGAAAGGAAATCCTGTTTTGCGCCGTGTCTCCTCAAGTAGCATTCATCCACAAAAGCCACTTCACATGCGAGACACCTCGCGACCACTGCAGATCAATGTTCCCTCTCAGCTGTGGAGTCCTGTGAGCAAAAATTCTACTTTGTGAGCTACTGGCATGAAAGTTGTGAGCGAGCAATTTGGCTGCCACATAAATTGGTTTGCTCTGGAGCCCTCCTTCCTGAGCGAAGACAAAAATGTGTGAGCCGGAGGCTAAAAATCTGTGAGCTAGCTCACACTAACTCAGCCTAGAGGGAACACTGCTGCAGATAATCTAATGATAACAGTGCAAGTTAGGAGGAGGCGGATACAGGACTGTGGCAATGCTCCCAAAGAGTGTTAGGTTTCCCCGTTAGGCTGTCTGTCCACAAACGCCGGCTCGCTTTATCCTCTGTAATGCTCTGTAGTTTCCATACCGCTTCGGTTAAGGCAAGATGTGCAGTGTCCTCAAACCCAGAAGCCCCCATTTTAAAAGGGATAGGGGACAGTGCTCAAAAGGACCCGCTCTTCCCATCTCTCTTGCTTCGGAAGATTAGCTTTGCTTTGGAACATGCACAGTTTTGCAATGGTCCTCGGTCCAGGACACACTGATTAAATGAGCTCGCAGTGAAGGCAGGCCTGCAGGGTTATGTGCGCCTGTTTGAGGAATTCACCCTGTAGCATTTGCTTTTGCATCCTGCTTCACTCTTGGCGTCCGGCTTTCGCACGCACAAATTTCCCCAGCTCTTAGCTCTTGCTAGCTGTCATAGCTTAGAGATCAAGTTCAGCTCTTTCCTCTACATCGGCCACTCAGGAGTCTCAGCCTCCCCTCCTTGGCTGCGAAATGGGGATAATTCTAACCTCCTTTGCAAAGTTGTCGTAAGGACTGCAACGAGACGATACGTGTCAAGCACTTCAAAAGCACTTGAGAGAGCCAGTTTGGTGCAGTGGTTAAGAGCTGCGGACTCTAATCTGGAGAACCAGGGTCAATTCCCCACTCCTCCGCATGCAGCCAGCTGGGTGACCTTGGGTCAGTCACAAGTTCTTTCAGAGCTGTTCTCTCAAGAGCAGTCCTCAAAAGAGCTGTCTCAGCCCCACCTACCTCACAGGGTGTCTGTTGTGGGGAAGGGAAGGAGTTTGTCAGCCGTTCTTAGACTCCCTTGGGTAGTGCAGGGTATAAATCCAATCTCTTTTCTTCTTTAGTATCTTTGCTTTGGGGTAGAGTAACTATGATTAGCGGCTTTCCTCCGTGTGCCTTCACCCGATTTTGGATATTCCCTAGATCAGGAGTCTCCAATATGGCGCCTGCCTACACTTTTCGGGGTTCCCGCCAAGTGTTTTGGGGGAGTGGGTGGGGCCAGGGGAAGGTTTTGGCGAGCAAGGCTTCTGATTAAATGTGGCTGGAGATAAGCTACGGCGGCCATTTTGTAGCTGTCTCCTCTTCCCGCAGCGGCCATTTTGTGGTTGGGCCTACCAGACTCTGTCAGAATTCAAAGGGGCCCACAGGCTGGAAAAGGTTGGGGGGCCCCACTCTAGAACGCAGTGCCCCACATTTCCAAACCTGTCTTTTCCTAACGAGGCTGGAGTCACGCTCTTTAAAATAACCCGACTTCCTGGTAAACTCCATCCCTTTCTCCAGGTTTCTGTGAAGGGGGGTGGGTGGGAAATTTAACACGGCTAGCTCATGGCTCGGTTTCAGAGCGCATTTGAACACATGCTGAAGATCCTGCAGAAGCTCTTGAGAGAGAGGGAGTAGGTGATGGGAATGTTCCTTCGCTGCCAACATCCTTGGAAAACTGGCATGACTCCAGAGTAAATATAGACCTCGAGCTGTTCTGCACCTTGGTAAAAGCACTTCTTTAAATGTTGGTATGCTGCAGCGGTAGAAAGGCGTTTGTAAGCCGCTCTGAGACTCCGAGTGAAGGGTGGGGTATAAATCCAATCTCTTCTTCATCTGATGTGACACATGTTCACTTAAAGGGCATTCCCCTCTCCCCATGTAGATGTCAAATCAGGATACTGCAGATGTCCCTCAGGTTTCCTGCCTCCCACGATTTCACCAGAGCTTTTCCAAATCCCCCCTGAAGAAGAAACCAATCCAACAGTCCCTGCCAACTGTTGGTTCTTGCTGGAAAATTTCTAGGGGCAACCATGAAAAAAATTCCACCTTGTGAGAATAAAAGGCCCAAAGAATGAATGCAGAATTCT